CTATGAAAGCTTATGTGTTGCGTCCAATTGTAATTTAATTTCCCCTTAACATTTCGGTTTTCCTCTTTATCGCTTTACTTCGTTACCCTCCGTTTTCTCTTCCAAACTTACTTAGAAACAAACATGGGCGAAGAAAAAGGGAATCAATAAAGGGTAGATTGCGTAGGTAGGGTCGTTTTGTTCATTCGTCTCCAAATAAGGAAGTCGATAAAAATGAAATTCGTTCTTCATCACCAGTAACAGTAGATTCAATAATTCTTCGTACCCGTCGTCAATCACTATCCGCAACCCTCTCATCGTCCCTCGATTATTCGTGGGTGGACAATTTAACCACCACCGTTCGTTCGTCTTCGCCGCTTGGCCTTGGCCGTTAAAACTACAAGTAAGTTCATTTTTCTATTAATTTATCGTTATGCCAACATCAATATTTTACAGATGCGCATTACTTCGTCATTGTGATTTCATTTCGTTTGTACAGAATTAATAAACAGCTTTTTGCGTACATTTCCTCTTTAGAAACGGTACGAGAAAAATTTCTTTTTCATCATACAGGTTGTTAATTACCAGCGCACAACATTGTTGGTCCTTCGTGCCTGATTCGTTTAGATAAAATCTTTCTGTGCTTTGCGAGGATTTCAAATTTTGCGATCTTTCAAAATTTGTGTTCGTTGATATTGAAGCTACTTTGATCAATTCGTTTTATTGCATATGCGTGTTTAATAAACCCGTTGTGGGAGTAATATTGAATTTGGTCGTACATTGTTCGAGAACCATTATAGTCTTTTATGTGTGTAGGCATCACGTTTGACATCTCACCTCGGCTGCTTCTGGTTCTTTATACTTGCCCTGCGCTATAACACGTTAAAAGGTATATACAGAGTGGCCCAACGAGAAGTATACAGAGGGCTTTTAGGGTATTCAATTTAGAAATTTCGAAAAATCCTCGAACACGTCAATTTTGTATTCGAGGGGGACAACTTTTGGAATACAAATCACGAACCCTCTACGTAGGGAGCTTAACCCCTAAAATTTTAAATAGAATCCCATGGCAAATGGCACATTATTTGAAAGCCAATTTAATCGTGATTACTATAATTCTACTTTTTTCTAAAAAAACCAAAACAAATGCGATCTAAGTCACCTTTATTAAAATTTTATTTTGACGCTTCAATTTGTTTGTTAAACTTAAGTGAATCTGTCAGTTCTCCGACAAAGCAGATTAGTAATCACGATTAAATTGGCTTTCAAATAATGTGCCATAGGATTCCATTTAAAATTTTAGGGGTTAAGCTCCCTACGTAGAGGGGTGAAGACTTGGGTTCGTGATTTGTATTCCAAAAGTTGCCCCCCTCGAATACAAAATTGACGTGTTCGAGGATTTTTCGAAATTTCTAAATTTAGTACCCTAAAAGCCCTCTGTAAACTTCTCGTTGGGCCACTCTGTATATGTATATGGGACCAGCACAAAAAACCAATTTAAAAGCAAAATGTTTAGAAATATACGAGACAAACACGGCGCGTAAAAGTTAAGATTTCCGGCAGGTAGGAGACACTTAAAACAGTTTAAAAGAATATATACTCAGTGACATGGAAATTGCAACACCAAGAAGAAGTAGGAATTGTTTCACCAAACTTGGTAGAAATGTTTAACTACTAAAAGGTAACAATTGATTAAAATTTCATTCATATGGATCAAGTGGTAATGGCTTATTTGACAGTTCTTTCATTTTTTTCTACTAATTTTATATGGTGTATGTTTTGCGAGATTTTGTTCAGTTCTTATTGTTTTCGCTTTTAATCACTTCTTTTGAGGCTGTGATCAGGCCTAGAATATGTCAACGTGGAATTTACCGCGAATTAAGAGAAGTCGACAGCTGTCGTATTGTTGGTTTTGGACGAAAGTGGTTTTTCTGCCAGAAAAATTGCAAATCACCTTAACCGAAGCCAATCCACTATGATTCGCTGCAATCAGGCATGGATTTGGGAAGGTCAGGATGGTCGCAGAGTGGGGGGAGGGGGGCGAAAAAGAACAATTGAAGTGCAGGACCGCCATCTTGGACCTATGGCAACAAGAGACCAATTTTCTAGCACCAGGTCAATTGCCGATCAATGGTTAGCTAACGAAGGTCGTCCTGTAACACTTCGAACGGTTTACCACAGAATCAGACCTTACGGCTTGCAATCCTATCGGCCACATCTTGTGTTTCCATTAACAGCCCAACACCGCCAGCAGCGTTTGGAATGGTGTAGGTTGAGACTACGCTGGAACCTCGAGTGGCATAGGGTGGTGTTCAGTGATGCATCCCGATTTTGTTTGGGTAAGCACGATGACCGTATGAGGGGCAGCCAAAGACGTGGAGAACGTCGCAATGTTGAATTTTCTGTTACGAGACATGTGCACCAAGATGTGGGGACTATGGTATGGGGTACTATAACTTATGGAAGTAGGTCTCTTTATTTATTCATTCGAGGTAATATGAACGCCCAGCGATATGTGGATGACGTGATACAACCCGATATTCTTCCACTTCTTCAGTAGTTGGAAGACCCACTTTTCCAGCAGGATAATGCCCATCCCCATATTAAAAGACGTTCTATGGACCTATTTGCACATGATAATGTCAATTTCTTGCCATGGCCATCCAGATCTCCCGATATATCGCCTATCGGGCATGTGTGGGACATTATGAAGAGAAGACTGATGAACTTGCCGCATTCTCCGCAGACCCTGCAAGCTCTAAACAATGAATTACAGGTTGCTTCAGTTTCTTGGTACACAATACCTCAAGAGGAAATCGGCCGTCTGCTAAAATTGATGCTACGAAGAGTGAGGGAGTGCGTAACCAATAGGGAGGGACTATTATTATTATTAATAAAAATATGTTTATATTTCGTTCTTTTTCTTTTAAATTTTAATCAATTGTTACTTCTTAGTAGTTAAACATTTCTACCAAGTTTGGTAAAAAAATTCCTACTCCTTCTTGGTGTTGCAATTTCCATGTCACTGAGTATATATGGGACGGACACGTTTAAAAGCAAAGGTATATAACACGTTAAAAGATGAAACACAATAAATAAAAGTTTTAGCTCTTATTAAAAAAGGTATATTCACGGGGCGATTAAAAGTCTAAAATAAAACGCTAAGGACGGACAGACGACGGTAGTTCGTCTCAGGTACTTCAAAAGTTATCACAGAGCTTGGTCACGAGTATATCATCACAGTTATTGGTCTATCACAGCCGACGCGGAGTTGTTCCCGCCTCTTGCACCGGGGTTGGGCGGTTGACTAGGCCTCCCTCGTCCCCTTTCTGCTTTCTGGATGGCCTCCCTGAATTTCGGGCACGCCATGGACCATGGCGCGTGTCCGTCCCCCTCACACACAGTGCATCTTTTCGGGTTGGTACATTTGTCTTTAAAGTGCCCTTCCTGGCCGCAATCCATCCATTGGTTTTTCCTGTCTTGCGCAGTGCACTTCATGCCTCTACCGTACAGCTCCCAGCACCTCGAGCATTTCTCGACCTCCACCCTCTTCCGCACTCTGCAGCGGGCCAAGCCGACCCACACTCTTGCGAGCCGGTCCATTTTTCCTCCAAATCCCTATCGACAAAGATTGTCGTCAACCTCTGGTCGTTCTCGCCTGTACGTATGGCCGCCACCTCCACCTCTTCTCCCTTGGCCCCGAGCTCCGCTACTACGGCCACCCTCACCTCTGTCTCGCTCGCCAGCTCGTCTAGGTCTATTATGTAGTACACCCTGGTCTCTCCCTTAATGCTGTACGTGGCGCCTCCCATTTCTCCTCTCAGTTTCTCCTTGGCCTTATCCACATGGCCCTTCTTCCTATCAAGGATAATCTTTAATCCTCCCTCTTCTTAACCTTGCTTTTGCGCCCTTCGATCCTATAGGTGAAGGCCCGTGGGTAACACGCATTCGGCAACCTTTCCGCATAGCTCTCGGTCTTCCCCATCCGTGTAGATTTTGATCGTATTATGCGTTTTGTTTTGTAGTCTTTTCACGGCCTTGGTCAGCGCCTTGTATATGCTTCTTTGGCCGAGTTACCCTCGATGGCCGCCATAGATATGAACCTTTCTTTAGATTCGGACTCCTCATCATTGTCCTCTATGACCGCTTCTGATTTCTTAAAGGTAAGGACTCCTCCCTTAAAGGTCTGAGCGTTGTCGACTTTTTTTTTTAACTCCGGGTGACGGACTCTTAGCTTTTTCCTCTCCTGATTCCCCTCTACGGTTGTGTAGAGGGTCATCTCGCTCCCCATCCAAATCCCAGAGTCCTCTTCCTCATTCCTGGCTGTGTCTTCGGGCCATGGCCTCTGGATGACCTCCCATACATCATCGTATTTGCCCCCTTCCTCTATGACTTCTCTTTCCTCGTTCGATCTCCTCCGCATTGATGATGACTCTGCATCTGGTGTATACTATCTTCCCCCTTGGTCACTCCGTCGGCGTCTGCGTTCTCCTTGCCGTTTGCTCGAGAGCGTCTGGTTGTTCGCTGATAAACTTGGCCACCTCCTCAGTCCCAAGCTGGGTGGCCACGCTCTTAAGTTCAAGTGTAACTTTCTTAATCTCCCTTTACGTGTTCTTGCAAATAAATCCATCTAGTTTTTCAATTTTCTTATTAACTTTATTGATGAGCATTATGATTTTGTTATGCATCGCCTTCGTGTTGGTTCTTTTGGGGTCCGGCATTAGTATGTCGACTCGCACCATTTTTCTCTTGGGGTTGGCGATCCCCTTCGGAACAGAGCACCCCGCTTCTTCGTCCCACTTCAGTTCCATTTCCCCACCCGGAACGGTTTTCTTCAGCTCCTGGTACAACGATTCCATTCTTCTACTGCTTTTTAAACGTTCGATTCGGTCTTATATAGTTCGAACCAATTTTTCTTTAGAAAAGGCACGAGAAATATTTCCTTTTCTTCATACAGTCCACTTAATCGTTTGTTAATCACCACCGCATAACGCTTATGTAATGTGTTTTAATAGGAGGTGCTCATTTTTGTCGGGACAGCTTTCATACAATACAAACTAAAGTTAGACATCATTGCAAATAATTTCCTCGAAATCCTCAATTTGTTAAACATATTGTACCTACATTTGTATATATTGCTTTGGTTTGTTGCGAAGTAGCGCATGAAAAGATGTCATTGTGCTGTTCACCTACCGTATACAACTGCAAGTAAAATTTCGTGCAACCATTGACGTACTAATTGCACTGGTATCAGTACCACAAATCTTTGTTATTCCACTAACATAAATTAAAACAACTTCATTCCCTCTTTACGTCGAAGAACGAGTTTTTAGTATGACTAGTTTCAACATTAGTGTGACAAACGCGACTCCCATGAGATAACGCCACAAAAAACTCGATCGAACGAAGGTTAAAGATGTAGTAGTATCTTGCCCATGGTCCTTATTTTGGGTATGCGGAAATTCAAAACGTTTATTTTAAGTATCCTCGAACTGCAAGGTACGACGAAGGACAATGCGACGCAACGTTCTTACACCAGCCAACTCCCCAATGTATTCAAATTGGTCGGAATAATTCCGTACCTATATGGAATAATAAGCAATTTAAACAAGTTATGCGTTCACCGATGGACTGGCGATTAGAAAAGTTTACAAGAAAATTGATAAATTGATCGATTCCCAAAATGGTAGCGAACTGGATCTCGCCGAAGATAGCAGACATGCTATAAACTACAAGTTTCCATATACATTCTGTTGCTTTCTCCAAATTGAATAATTTTAGTTTTTTTCGTTGGCAAAATTCTTACCGTTTTAATTTTGCGAGATTCCTTAAGCGTTTGAATTGATTTTATCGGCGAAATATATTCGGCAGTACCGCTATGAGAAGTTAATCCTTCTTTCAGGTCAGTGAACAATATCAAAAACCTCAACTTGGACATTTGTGAATGTCAAGTGGTACGTTCACGCAATATGTTTCACACGAAATAATTTTTACGCACTTTTAGAATTCGTGTTTGCACAAAGTTTTGCTGGTAGGTAGCTGTTTCGTCCTGAACAAAAAAACGGAACTCAATGAACCCACCCAGACACAACCGTTCCAATTCAAGTCAAAGTCGAATTTACCGACAGATAGTGTATAGGCAATTGTTTGGATTTGCATAATATAAAAACACTGTAGACGTAGAAAAAGTAAATGAAATAACGTGTATCTGTGGAGTATATACCCAAGATTCAATCTAACATTACAGACTTCGACGTTTTTTGACTTACTGCAAAAGATCAGCCGATTTTTTTATTCACATAAAGAATTATAAGCTAAGCCACTTTACAGTACCCTTAAAAACTCATGAAACTCGTCCAGTAGACAGAAAATGTAACAGATGGTCGCTTTAGGCTTGGAATCAAAATTTACAAAATTGCCAGTACCTATAGGAAATTTTATACGTGTGCCGCTTTATAAGGAAAGATAACGGAACTAATGCGAGAAAATAAAGCGCGTTAAGATAAGAAACGAGTGTTCAATCAAATAAGAGTCCAAATTTTGCAAGTGACGCATAAACGTGGAGCACCAATTAACTTCCTGTAAAGGCCTCGTGTTTCAAAATAAAACAGAAAATCGGTTCACATACGCGAATTTAAAGCGGAAAACTTAGCTCACACCATAGGTCTATTGACCGGTACAAATTTTGCATTGAGTAAATTTATTTAAATATACGAAAGAGTGACCACAGAAGTGAGAATTGACATTATTACTGCCAGTGGTGGAGTAAATATGTTTATAAAAAGGGTATCAAAAGTTACTGAAATTTAAGAGTGATATTTTTTTAACATGTTTGAATTCAGGGATAGTTTTTTTTTTTGTAAATTGCATATGGAATGGAAAACACGCCAAAAATTACAGACGTTTAAACTGAAAACATGTGGGGGATGAGGGAAGACAACAGGAACAACCCTCAGCAAGTGAAGAAGCGTGAACAAAAAAGAAGACAACATCCAGAAGCAGCAAGTCAGTAACGTTCAAGGATATTGCAACTAGCAAGCATGATAAAGGCATTGATCAAAGAAACGAGCAAGGCACAGAAAAAAAAACAAGAAATCCAAATTAGCGTATTAGAAGGCCATCAGAAAAAAAAGAAACCAGAAGAGAAGGAAAAGAGATACTCGAAGATGTGCGCCAAGATCTCAGGGCGAGCCAGAAGATTAAAGCTGACCAAGAGAAGCCAAGAGAAGAAACCAAAGAAGAAATATATCGCCTATGCAAGTGAAGTTAGGTGCAGTTAAGAATGAAGTTTATTGAAGTGTTTTATGTTTTTGAATAGGTTTTTTTTAGGTTAGATAGCTTAGTTGTTGGGATGATTCCAGTCAGTTTAGATTTTTTGTTAATAAGGTCTGCTAACTCAGGCCGAAGCTGCCCTTAGTTTTTTGTTGCTCATTAACCTTTCATCGTGTGTCGAAGAACCCGAAGTTATGAACCCCCGTACATTTATGAAATCGGCCAGCTTTGCTGAACACCCGGTATCGAGAAGCGTTTTAAGTTTGGTGCTTCGTTACTAAGGAGTTCCTGAATTTACTTATTTGCTCGACGAGTGAGTTTTCATTTTGTTTAATTGTATATTGGATTACAGATAACGCATCGTAGTAGTGTATTTATGAGTTTGAGTATATGATTTTTTCTTGCAGCCACCAAAAGCTGGTGTAACCGGGGAGAAGAAAGACAATTAATATTTTGAGATTTCAGCGCCGTTAATTAATTATTAAGCAGTTTAGTTTCCAATAATAAGTGAAAATCAGAATAGAAGCGAGTTCCCAATCGAGGTGTTGGTACGTTATCAGTTTGCAGCCTTGCATATGTGTAGATAACGACAACAGTCGTTGTGTCCGGAAAATACCAATTAGGCCTAGGTGTTAAGTGGATTAATGAGTATTGAAGTTTGAATGCGCCTAATTGACCGACGTTTTAATGAGTTGCAGTTTTCAAAAACGGTCGTGAGAGATGATTCCGAACGCGCTGTAATTTTTCCAGAAGGTTACAGGTTATCCCATTTCTTCCGATAACTGCACGCCGAGTAATTCATTAAAAACCGAATTAATTTGAATCGGTTTAGTACTGAATACAGCGAGGAGATGGAAATTCCCTATTCCACTTCCCCAAACTCCGGATTTCTTTATAAGGTTAACTCTTGATTTTGTGAGGGATCTTTTGCTGTTTGCCATTTTTGATTCTTGCCGTAAGTAACTTAATTTATTGAATAAATTTTTGCGAAACAGTACCGTAGTTTTATCTTTTGACATTTGCTATTGCCGTAAGTTAAAACTTGTGCATTAAATAACTTTTGTAAGTACCGAAATTTGAACTTTACTTTTGCAACCGTAACGTATTTACATTGTTTGCTTTTGTATTTTTGCTTATTACATTTTTAAGTACCGTACTAATCTCTAGCATTGCCCTAAATTTCTTTTTCATCCGTACCGTTTTATTTTGCTTTTGCATTCAGTTATGCGTATTCATTGGAATTGCTTTTAGCAACTTTTTCTACCGCTCCGTTATCGTAAAGGTGAGCCGCCATTTTCTGGACCTGACCTACTGATTCCTGGAACTACCGTTTCTCCGGTTGAGTTTTCACGCGGAGAGACCGAGACCGACCCGCCAAACCGTGGCTATCGCCGACCTCGACCAGGCGCGAGATTTTCGCTTGATGGCGCCAGAGTCAGCCGATTCTTGCTGCCGTTTCGCCATTGTACACCAACATAACTGGTTGTCGCCAATTGCAGCTATTAAATCTGTTAATTACAACATAATTTGTATATTTATTAACGAACTCCTAGTGAGGTCATGATATTGGACTGTCTGTGCGTCCGTCTGTCTGTCCACCCGTCCGTCCGTCCGTCTGTGGACAAAATAACTCCCGAACGGCTTCGAATTTTTCAGTTCTGTTTTCAGTATTTTGTTTATCATCGCCCAAGGAAGAACTGATTAAATGTTCAGTGACCCCGGAGCTCGTTTGCTATATTTGTATTTATTTTTCTTTTAATTAAATTTCAAATTATTATTCCGATAACATTCTTTAAATATGAAGCACACCGATTGTGTGAGAGCTACCCCAGTTCGTCGCAATCGTTTGAAAAAGAGAAGGGGGTACTGTAACAGGTTAAAAATGGACAAGATTTTGCCGGTATAGAAAATTCTATACGTGTACTGCTTGATAAAGAACGAGAACGGAACTAATATGCGAGAAAGTAAGGCGCGTTAAAATAAGAAACGAGTGTTCAATCAGATAAGAGTAGAAGCACTACAAAAGGAAAAATAGAGACGGCGAAGTCGTGTTATGTGTTATGTCAATATTTTTAACAATAAACTCAGTTAAATAGGTGTCGTTGTGAGAGACGTAATGATTGGTGCAATTGCTTAGTGCGAATTTTTTCCAATCATATTAAAGTTCGTTAATCTGTGTGTACACAAAGCAAAAAATTGAGCCCAAAATTAATAAAATAAAAAATTAATTATAAAGATTCTGTTTTCACGAGTTTTTAGTCTAAGTAGCCATGGACCTGGCCATGGACTATGGTAAAAGAAAAACATAGTCCATGGCTACTTAGACTAAAAACTCGTGAAAACAGAATCTTTATAATTAATTTCTAATACTAAAATTAAACACTTTCGCAGTTCCCACTTATAGCGCCAATCCCCTTTCCACGCTCTTCTCATTTCCGTTTTCTTTGCTTTCATTTTCCTCTACCTATCCTGTTCAAAAACTCTTCAGAATATTATTGCCACCTTGCCATGATCTTAGTGCTTTCTGAATTTAAATGTCCATTTTGGCATTGGATTCTAATCTTTCCTTGTCTTTTACTTTAATTTTTACACGTTAACTTTTTTTCTTGATTGCATACCTTGTACTTGTTTTAGACATATTTTCCACCTTTCTTCCTTCTTTGTTATATCGTCTAGCCTGTATCAATTTCCGTTTCTTACATTAATATATAATCTAATAAAAAAAAGGTTGACCCATAGGCCGAATCTGCTATAGAAAAGGTTGACATTCCGTTTGGTCGCATTCGAAATCTCAGTTTGTTTAGCTAAGCTGCATGTACCCTAAGAAGTGTGACTTCAGATATGCAATTCGATAGGACAGTTTTCTCGAATCCAATCAGACGCGCTAAACTAAATAACGCAGCGTCTTTTTCTTTATATACAAAATATTAGAATCAAAGTAATGGAATTCCTTCCTGTCATATTAGTCTATAAATAAAATACACGCAAGCAATTATGCGAGTCACGCTGCGGACATGTTTTTCCATTGTACGTAATTTTCCTCGACCTGAAAATCAGACCAGTAGATATTTTCCGAGTAGATAACCTGAACCACCCATCATCGTCAGTGTGCTTCCCAACGTGTACAGATGGACTGATTTCCCATATACGTCTGAATCAAGGAGCTTTCAAGAGATGTGTCAAAACAATGCCGAATAATATGATTGATTCGGCCTAAGAAGGAACTTGATTTGGTACTGATGAAAAAGCTCGATTCGACTGATGCCAAGAACGATAGGAATCGAGAATTCTGCGCCGTTACAGTGATGCAGCAGTTTCGTTGGCGTTAAGAGAAGCCAACTCTAACTGTGTATGATCTGACAGATTGAGGATAAAAAAATATCGATTAATAAAGACCATCGCCAGTTATGGAAAGTGGACGTTTAATCTTAATTATCTGTACGGTACCTAAGTGAAGCAAAAGAATTGACCTCCATCAGATTGTGAAAAAAATTACTGCAAGCGCAGGATCTTTTGGTCATCGGAAGTTATATATTTTACACAAAAATCAATAGATTTGAGATTAAATGTCATGCACCATTACCTGCTGCGCGTTCCGCTTTCTCTACACTTTATCCTTTAACGAATTGTCTTATGCCTTCTAATGAAATGATCGTAATAAGATACAATTCCGATTGATATACGTTTTAATTGCACTTTCACTATACTATATCTTCCATTGATCACAATTTTTATTTACTATGTAGCCATATAAATGTAAATTCATAAATTAAATTGAACTTTAATGTGAAAAATAATTGTTTATTGTTATACCCCATGTAATAAACATAACATGTACGTGCTTTGAAACGTTAAAAGAATGTGCTTGTCATTAGTTATTCCAATTGAAGATTAGCGTCGAAAAAATCGATTGGAACAAATCCAAACGGCGTTACTATTTGATAGGTTCATCAGGCGAAATCTAAATTAACACCTTTACATAATGAGTAAAATTTGAGATCTCAATATAACTGCCCACTTTGGGTAACGCAAAAATCTAAAAGCGAACGTGATGGCAGTAGGAATGCAGATTTAGACCAATTTTTTAATGTCAAAATTTTTTCGTCTGAATCACTGAAGAATTCCGAATTTGGTCACCGGTATATTTATAAACTCAAATTCATCCGTCAATCATACATTCGCAAAGTTGACTGACTCCTTAAAATCCCACTCAGAAAACTTAAAAAGATGCAATACTTACTCAATAATTGAAAACACCTAGTCTAAGAGCACGAATCCGTATTGTACAATTAACTCGTGGTTACAATGTTTATGATGTGAGAGAATTAACCGTAAGAATTAACCTGTAGATACGCTATTCGCACCTTGCACCTTTACGAACGCGCGCTAAACTTAAATGCCGAGATCAGTGAAGGTACAAGAAGTATAAACCTAAGTCTGCAAACTCCTTGGTGTTGATTCCCCACCTTCCTTCCTTCCGTTGAGGTCACTAACACACAATATTGATGATGAGGCCATGACCTTACTTTAACTTCATGTGGAATTTTGACAAGGATGATGATGATGATGTACCTAGTTATTGTTGACCAAAAAATTGTACCGGATTGGTGAAAGTAGCATTCTGATCCACCTACCGGTTTGGGATTGTTAAAACATATCTTTTAAGCGAAGGTAGACGCAGTAATTGCATTGGCGACCGCAAGAATCGGATGTATTAATACCCACGGGGTGCACGTTAGAAAGCAACCCCTTTGTCTAATCAAACGCTTGCTGAATAATAACAACACAATATTGTCAGTTGCTTTTATTATACGAAAAGCGATTTGCTTTGTCAGAAAGAGCTGGATCAAGTGCTGGGGTGTTGCAACAACCTTTGAAATTCAGTTTTGCGACAACATTATCAACAAGCTCAAATTATGTATTGTAAAAATATCTTGAATTTGAATTGCTGAGCATATAACCAAGACTTTGATACCGCTATCATTACCAAAATAATTTTCCGCAATTCTTCCGATAAATCGAAAAATTTATTTAGTAGAGCATTCATTATTTAACCCCCCTGAAGATGCTGAAATCTCGGCGCTTATGTTGGGTACAAAGAGTATGGGAAATTCGATCATGAGGAAAACATACGGAAAAGTAATCGCTCCACTATATTTTTACATCCACTCAGTATAAGTGATTTCAGTTCCGTTTATTTTACTCTTCTTTATTATTCGATTTCAAAATATGTTTTGAATTCGTATATGGGACTGCCAGGAATCGGATTTCAATGATTTCATTATTATGCTTTTAAAATAAGCTTGGTTCAAGTTGCCTGCATCAAAGTTTTGTACATTTCCTAAGCTCGAAGTCGAGAGCCCGATTTCTTGTACAGAAACGCTTGTCATTTTATAACCTACGGACATTTTTGTTCGCTAAGAATTTGTATTCATCACGAAGATAACATTACTAGAATGGTGCAAAAATCAACTGCACCATCGCAGAGATCTGTTTCCATATTTCTAAAACAATAAAGCGGCATTTCCAGATAAGATTAATTGTACCTAGAAGAGAATATTTACCCACGTCAATAACTGTAAGTTATTTATATTTCTTTTATTTGCATAAAATAGTGGTTATTTTTAGGAATTTGCATATGTAATTTTCATATTCCTAAAGGAATTGACCCGCGAAACTTGCATGAAACAGATTTTTTTATTTGTATTTGTTGGTAAGAATCGAATCCAAAGGCGTGTACTTTGAACAGGAAAATCTACCAGAATTTATTACGTGCTAAAAATGAATTTTGGAAGAAACTTGATCGCCTTTGTCTTTATTAATGTATTAAATCAACATCAATATGGGTAGTTATTACATTTCAAATCAAACCAAAGTATTTTATTTTGACTTTCAGTAAGGATAGCTGGGCAAAGTGCTGGGAAGAAGAAATTAGACCCCAACACCCAGTTGTGTTCACTAAAGGAAGAAAAAAATGAGCTCGGGGGAACGGATTGAAAATTATTTTGGTTTGATATGGAGTTAAACATCCACACCAAAAAAAAAGTAGGCATAAAAATGAAGATTTCATGACGATTTTGGGTAAACTATATTATTTCAACAAAAAAAGGGAAAAGGCTAATCTATACTTGGTGAAATAAGAACAAATTTAATTATCGCTTACATATTGTTGGTTAAACTACGTCACGAAGAGGTTATTTTGGTTTCAGCATCTTTAATAAGGTTGGACCACTCTGTATGCGAAATCTGGTGACTTTTTACGAGTAAACACAAAGTGTGATCGTTTGGTTTAAATTTGTATTTCAGTATTTGTTTTTCCTTTTAGAAATCTATTAAATATGTAATTTTTCCTTTTAAGTTTATCGCTTTTGTAGACTGTTCAATTTAGATAAGATGCTAGAAGTAAGACACATCTGGGCGAATTTGTGATTTATTAAATGTTGTATCTGGTCGTTTGGGATACGGCGTGTTGTTGTTAGGCGAAATTTAATTCTTGCACATGTGATTCAAATAAGCAAACGCCGGCGTTATTCAACTCTGATGGTGACCGGTGGTTTATGGAAAATTATTAAAGAAGAGTAT